TCTTTATGTCCTCAAGCAGGAGATGCTGGTGACAACATGAGTATATGTGATAGATATGGCAGCAGCTTAGTGTCTCAAGCATGATGATATTAATATTTCAACCATGTGCTGGTAGCACAACACACAGGCTCGGTGCCCCACCCTACAGGTTGGATCAAATGTCAAACTGACTGCCAGACATGGAGACACGTGCAGTGTGGAATTGTTTGATAGATCCTGGTTCAGCACTGATCATCAAACCACTTAGGAGCAGTGCTGTTAAAGAGCATCATCTGTTGATATTCATTATACGTCTGTAGTTCTTCACTGACCTCAGGATTTCTCTTATTCTTCTTAAGATATTTCCACTGCAACCACAAAGAGCTGAAGAAGAATTCCTGAGCAGCATCTGTGAAGAGCTATTAACTAGTGACACTGCTCAACATTAATGCTGAGACAACAAGTGGACACAATATCTTCACTCACAGTGCCTCAACAGATGCCGAATGAGTACAGCTTCAACACATTGAACACTTGAGTTTAGATAGTAGCCTTGATCAGACTTACACTGCATTAACCTACACCGAGTTGAGTGCAAATATCAAATTGATTTGACAGTTTTTGAAAGGCTAATTAGGAGTTTTGATTATTAAAGGTGCCATCAAGTGCAAATTTGTGATATAAAATTGTAGTCTTTTCTAGCAAAATGTGTTGTGTCAGAAAACAAAATTTCACAGACAATGTAAATAAATTCAAACAAGTGAAACACACTGGTGGCTGGTGAAACACTCCTCAACATCTCCTTGATGAGCAACTGCATACAAATAAAATAAAACATCTAAGAATCATCTGGTACTTAGTTTTTTCCAAATTTTCAGGTTTAGACCTTCTGAATTTTTTGTCAGAAATCAGGATATCAGTTAGAGAATAATTTTCCTTTTATCCATTAGTAAGTCACAGCTTTTTGTGAAAAGGGATTAAATAACTTGTTTACGTTATTGCCTTTTTATCTACTACGCATCGAAGTCACTGAGTAACAACTACCATGCAACATGGATGCAATTGGTACAACAGAACCAACACAACTGTTTCCATGGCTACAGCTGGCTACAGGAAGCCTCAGGGTAAGGGGCGTGTCATTGCTGGTACATGCTCTAAGCAGCAAACCAATCAAACAAGAGTTGCCCGCTGACCAATCAGAGTAGACTGGGCTATTGCTGAGCGTTTCAGATAGAGGATGAAAAGAGGTGCTGCAGCACTGAGTGATGAGACATATAATGTCTAAATAAATAACAAAAATGTCTATTTAAAACAATACTGCATGTAAACTTGTTCTAGCAGAGCCCTGAATACAAATAATGAACCCGTACATGTACAAACTGACCTTTTTCCTAGAAATTCAGTTCACTTACAACTAATATGCGAAACCAAATATGTTTTAAGTGATACGCGCTGTCAAACATAATGAGGAGATGTTGTAAATTAATGTATCAAGCATGTAATTGCATTTGCAACCACAACCTGGGAAAACAAATTAGTTGTCCATAAATGTATTCCTCTGGAGACATGTTAGGTCTAAACACAAGAAGCTAAAGACGACCTTTGTCCAAATAAAATGAAGGCTCTACTGGTTCTGAAACAAATGGTATCCCTCCTTGATAATGGCAAAATAATAATTATAATTATTTGAATAATATTGTTGTTACTCATTGACTTTGGAAACATCACATTTATCAAACTTTAAAGATAAATAAATCATTTTGGCACTAACAGAGCAGAGTGTCTACGCTGCCTGAGTGAAGAACCTCTCCTGGCTCTGTGTGTGTGTGTGTGTGTGTGTGTGTGTGTGTNGTGTGTGTGTGTGTGTGTGTGTGTGTGTGTGTGTGTGTGTGTGTGTGTGTGTGTGTGTGTGTGTCGCTCTTCACACAAATTGACAATCAAATTCATCTAGTTATCAGTCAATGTTGTTTGATCATTAATCCGGATCGCTCCAGTTACTTTAATCCATCGATCTCCCTTAGTGTTGGTGTTTTTATATTAAAGTTAGCGCTGGTCAGCAGGTGAGTGAGGCAGCGAAATACGGTACAGTACAAAGATAAAGGATTTATAATTGCGTCCGTCGCAATTCTGAAGCAGTGGTAGCAATAATTTATTGTCTCCTGGCATTTAGTTGAGTATATAGCCCGACCTTTTTCGAGGAAATTCAGTCGTGACACCAGAAACCTCACATTGCACCCGAGCCCCTAACCTTGCAGACACACTGTGTGAACAGCAGACGACCACGAGCAGGTTATTATTCTGTTTGAAATAGAGCAGGCTGTTTGTTTTGTAAATTCACATCACAGCTCTTTTATTGTCTTCATCACCCTCCCATGTCTGGGTTAGGTTGCCCAAAGCCCACAGCAGCCATCCTGCGATTGTCAGAGGAACAGAAAAACACAACCGTGTGTACAACGTATCACATTGCAATCATTTGGTTGACTGGAACACGGCCGCAAACACAGCTCAGGTTTCTGGAAGAGAGGTTCTTGATATATCAACCAAGATTCTTCTTTTCATCTTAAGTTGTAAACTGCACTTGCTGTTACCATGGTAGTGATGTATTCTATTGATGTGAGACAGGACGCTTTGGTGATGTCACTTATGACATCATGAAATGTCCTGCTGCAGCTTAATGGGCACTGAACTAGTTACTTTAACCAACAACTTCATTGAGTAATTTTCTTTATTTGGCTAGTATCTTTAATTTGAGCCAGCTAACCATTGTCGGTCAATACAAAGACGAAATATTCAGTACACACACAAACACACACACACGTACAGCTGAGGGGATAGAGTGGTCGTCCTCTAACCAGAGAGTTGGCACTTCGATTCCCCATCATGCCAAAGTGTCCTTGGGCAAGATACTGAACCCTGAATTGCCCCTCGTGGAAAAAAAAGTGCTGCCCATAGATGCACTAAGAGTGTGAATGGGTGAATGCACTTGGAGCGGTCAGCAAGACTACAAAAGTGCTCTATAAAATACAGACCATTTAAGATTCTCTCACACACACACACACACACACACACACACACACACACACACACACACACATCCAACCTCAACCAACACATGAGCATGCTCTCAGTGATGCCTGTGCTATGCTTTCTCAGTTCGCTAGTATGCAAGGGTACAACTGCGTGTGGAAAGTGTGACGAGGTCCATCCCCACCCTTACCACTACAATTCATCTTTAAAAGACAACGACAAACAAAGTAGCAGCTCCTCTAGCATGGATGTCCACATTTTAGTTTGATTCATGGTTAGAATATATGGACGCCGATCTGCTGTGCATGTATGGAAGACGTCCTCCCAGCAGAGAATAATACAAACAGCTGAACATGTGTGTAACTGAGGACTTTAACTGACTGACCACATGTACTTCTGATTTATGTTTTTTTCCAGGGCAAAGTAAAAGATAAACAGATACAGTTAGGCAAAAAGATTCAATAGTTAAATTATTTGGATAAAAAAAATATAAAAATTTGGCCACTGCTTGTCCAGAAAGTGGTTACATGAAAGCCATTATCTCCACAATGTACCTTCCAAGCAGGAAGGTCCATCTAAACCACGTGATCACCAGACCAAACGCTGTCTCATCAGCCATCAATTATTACTGTGAATGAGTTGCAATGATTGTGCATTCTGACCATACCAGAGGGATAAGGGGAAATAGGCTGAGATCTGTCAGATACGACAATATTTGTGTAACGCTCCAGAGGCCACAGGGTAGACCTGCAGTAGTGATTTACATGAGGCCCAACAACCCCTGCAACACAAATTTAACAGCCATCAATTATTAATTCAGTCTTATGAGCTGGCTTGCTGCTGGAGAGAAACAGCCATTGTCTATATTCCAGATGTGGCCCACACCCACACTTTAACATTAAGAGACATAGTTTGAAAAAAACCTTTTTCCTCATCGTATGCTTTGTGACACTACAGTGCACAGGTTCGTGAAAGTTAGACTGTGTTCTCTGGGTGGTAACACAAAACTCAATTCATATTACAGATGTTCTAATTGTGTCCTTGGGCAAATAGTAAAGGTACATTTCAGGTATACAACATGGGAGCGTTGTTCTGCATCATTTACACAGACGATACAATTAACTGAGCGATTGTCAATCCATTAAGTTGGACTTAGGTTATGGAAGAAGACATAATATATTAAATCTAAGATTCACACACTTATATTATTATTAAAAAATTGTGAGACAGGTCATGGGCTATTACACACGCGGATTGTCCAGACAGTGAGTTATAACTTGAACCTGAAGGATCTGTATGGGATGTGGTGTGAGGTGTTCACTCATTAGGACACTGAGTGAGGAAACCACGAGATCTACAGTGAATCCACGACGGCTACACGAGGTGGTGTTCACGGGATGGTGCCCACACTTCTCCATTTCCAGTGGCTCCTCTCATGGGAGGTGCCTCCATCCATCATGAGAGGGAGGATGAGAATATATAGCCGGGCGAGCCGAGCATCGACAGCCGCGGATAATGGCTTCAACCTCGCTGCTAGCATCCCGCTAGAGGAGCAGGTTAGCTGCATTCCAGCAAAGAGACGGAGATTTAGACCGACAGGTGCAACAGCAGCAGCAGCAGCAGCAGCAGCATCCTCATCCTCCTCCTCCTCCTCCTCCTCCTCCTCCTCCAGCCGAGCAGCCTCCTTCCACCGCTTCTGCCACCTTCACTAATGTCAGAGAAAAACGCCCAAGACGACAACAACCAACACGCAGCGAGCGGCAGACTGCGAGCCTCGACTCTTACGTGTGCTCTGCATTGTGGAAATTGTTGGAACGAGTGAGCGGGTGTGAGCGCAGAGCAGCTAGCTAACAGCCGCTCCGGCGCGGAGAGCAGCCGGAGCGCGGTTAGCCTGGTCGCTGAGCTGGCAGCCTCCCTCCCTTCCCCTACGGTCCGAGGTGACACAGCAGCGGGCAGGAGGTGCAGCGCAAACCCGCGTGTCGGTACACACTCACCTCTCCGCCATGTTCCCGACGCTCCTCACAGACCGCTCACTGTAAATCCCACTGCGTCTCCCATGTTGCCCACATTACCGTCGCCGCAGTCAACGAGTCACCCACTGCCAGTCCAGCGTGAAGCCCTCAACAATTACACCCACTGCTTCCGGTTTGTACCTTAACAATAAAAGCTTATCGTCGATTTCGCAACAGAGGACCTTCAAATATCAGAATATATTTATGAAATACAACAGTCAGTGCTCCAGTTTCATGTCACACTGTAACATTCATATAGAAATAAATGGGACTGATGACAAATATCAGTACCTTGTAAAGCCTAATGTTTACAGTTTGTATATAAAAATACAAGTCATTAATCAGATTCAAATTACAACAGACATCGTATTGTATTATGAATCATTATAAATGTAATATTCAAAAAATCTATTGTATATATTTATTAGAAATGTATTGCAAATTTAATGAATATTATTTCATCTGTCTATTTACAAAACATTATTCCAAAACGTTTTAATTCCTCTACAACTTCTATGGCACAGTGGCCATACTGGATGTATTTTATGGGACAGCACCATGTACTTGTAGACCTGTGTCAGTGAATGTTAAAGATATAACATAAGACGTAAAAGACAACCTGTGCAGAATAAATGTTATATTATGTTTGATCAGTTTTCACATTATAGCAACACAGTTGTTTTGGTCCATACAGCCACATCAGAAAGTAAAGGGTCGGTCAGCAGAGGTTACCCCAAGATTTACCCGTATAATTAGTTAATACGCAAACCGCAAATGTTCACATCCACAGTTTTATTCTGAAGTTAATATTCGAGAGCTTCTGGTGTTGATGTCGCTGATTCTATTTGACTTGATGTACAGAAGAACGAGTGCAGCTCGTTTCAGGTGGAGATGCTCTGATGTTGACTGGAAACGACATTACATATGACATTGTTGCGTGTAAGCGGCCACACACACACACACAGACACACACACACACACACACACACACATACACACACACACAATTTCTATTGTGGGGGTGTCACCAGTATGCACCATGGAGAAGTCTTCGATGGTTTTCACAGGGCTTCCACAGAAACACAGACACTCCCTCTGACAGCCTACCTGAGGACTGTGTGGAGATGTTCACCCATGTGACGTCACCATGGTGAGGCGCAGGGAGCACCTTAATGAAACCCAACTATTCAAAAGGAGCTGGAACATAAATTGGATGTTGTTCTCTTTTCAATCTGAACTTACCACAGACCCCGTTGGTTGGTTCCAGGTTCAGCTGAGCCTTTAACTTTGATCTGAACATGCTACATACCAGCAGGTCTTAGTCCCATTCTTAACTTTTATAAAGGATACATAATTCCAGATTGTGCTCCGCTGCTTTGAACTCTGACCTGGAAGCTCAGCCCATACCTCTGTCTAAATCTGCAATGCACTTACTGTTTTCTATCATTACTTGCTCACATTTTCTTTATGGAGTTCACTTTTTCACAACTCTTCATTTTACACATTTACACACTAATGTAAAAACAATATACTCATGTTCAGAATCTAAAATCAGCTACACAAAATAACAGGATGACACAGGCATGTGATGCATCTAAAATAAATCTGCAGTTGATTTGACCCGGGAGATTCTTTTTAGTTTGTCTTTTGGTTTAGGTTGTCTGTAAACATGAAAGCAGGTGGAGACACAGCTGAGGCTGGCAGAGCAGAGAGAGGGGCCTAGAGGAAGGGAGGAGTTCATACTCATGATGGAGGAAGAGCTGTAGTATTTCTTGCAGGAAAGATCTGACTGAACTGAGTTTTTCAATACTGTAAATTGAGCATTTGTGTGCAGTTTATTTATATATGTGTGTGTGTGTGTGTGTGTGTGTGTGTGTGTGT